CATTCTGAAGAAATAATTGAATAATGAAGCAGAGCTGTTGGAAAGAAGCTTTTGATGACAAGGAACCAAGATGAGTGGCATTCAGCAAGGCTTCTTGGCTAGCTAGAAAGATTGACATTCAAACATGAGTTTACATACCTTTTCTGAGTTTTGGTCTAAAATTGGTTTTTGGTGAAACTTAATTCTGTGCTTGGTGACGTTTAATCCTGTGTTTATTGATGGGATAATTTTCCCTATTCGGCTTTGTTTGGAAGGAAAAAAGTTAATCATTTTTTCTGAAAAGAAACTGGGCTGAGAAATCTGGGTAGTTCCTGTGTCTATTTGTTCTGGTAATTGGTTTAACAAGCAACATCTACTGTTGTAATTTAGTTATTTATATAGTGTTTGAATTTTTTCCTGCCTCATAGTTTCTTTTTTCTATCTGGGGAAGGGGTCTTATTTCACTGCTTTAGTGGTATCTGGCACTGTCCTTTTGGGGTGTACTTCCAAGAGGCAGGATGCAAGCTTGACACTGATTTTTTTACTGCCTTTCTGGGGGGCATGTGACCTTTTCTTAAATCTGGATGATTTCCTTAGGATATCTTGTGAGGTGAGTGAGACCAGCTGGTATCTTTAAATGGTGCAAATGGATCTAAGGATTGCTTCTCCTGGGTATGCTTTTTCTGGAGAACTTAAATGACCTCTGCTAAAGGATTTCACTTTATGAGCAAGAGTTGGCTGCTGATAGTTATCACTGCATTTTAACTATTTTAATTCCTCAAGGTGCTCTGGCACCCCGCCTGATTTGTAACTCTGGTTTGCAGGTATTTTTAATCTAATGATTGGTATTTAGGGCAGCTTTTTGCAAGCAAATAAGCTTTTTGTATTTTTGTACAAGTAATCCTTGACTCACAACAGTTCATTTAGTGACCATTCAAAATTACAATGGCACTGAAAAAAGTGACATGACTTTTATGACCGTTGCAGCATTCCCACAGTCAGAAGAGGCGAGGCAAGGAAACACACCCCTCGATGTGAGTGATGTTGAGTTGACCACACCCAGCCAGTCACATGACCAAGCCACACCCACACATGACCACCAAACCATGCCCACCAACTAAGCCATGCCCACAGAACAGTTTGTTAAAACATTTGAATCCCACCCCTGCAGTGGACCCATCCTTCCATGCTTCTACAGATGCCTCAAAGTACACAAACCTGGCATATCTCTCTGTCCAATCATGTATCTAATAGAGACCCCTACATACAACATTGCAAAAGAACTAACAAAAAAACTTGGACATCTCACAAGAGGAAGCCAACACTCCATTAACTCTCCACTACAGGGTCTTCAAACAATCAGGGATATGACTATAGATGAGGATGTCATAGCCCTGTTCACATCTATAGATCCAGAATTAGCCAAAGAATCCGTGGCTGCATTGTTTCACAGTACACCTGACTTAATTGAATACACAAAGATCAAAACACCCAGGATTATGGATCTTAACTATATACTTCCAATTTGACAGCCAAATTTACCAACAAATTAAAGAGACACCTATGGGGTCACCACTTTTAGGTCTTATAATGGAGGTTGTCATGCAACATCTAGAAATCATAGCACTTCCACAAATACAACCGAAAATATAAATAAATATAATATGAATGGTGGGATGAGTCTGCCTATTGAGATAAGGTGGACCGGTTGCTTTCGTGATGTGGAGACAATTACTTGGTCCTTAACACCAATAAGACCAAGGAGCTTATAGTGGACTATAGAAGGAATAGATTGGACATCCAGCCCTTGCTTATCAATGGAGACCGAGTGGAGCAAGTGGCCAGTTTTAAGTTTAAGTTTAAGAGGACCTGACCTGGGGCATTCAGATTGAAGCACTGGTCAAAAGCCAGCAGAGATTATACTATCTGAGACTTCTCAGGAAACAAAAACTGAATGAAAAGCTGCTGGTGACCTTCTACCACTGCACCATAGAAAGTATTTTAACTTACTGCACCTGTGTATGGTTTGCCAATTGCTCAGTGGCAGATAGGACAGCACTCCAGAGGGTTAATATCATTGTCCAGAGGATCAATGGTTGCCCTCTCCCTTCTTTGGAAGAGCTTTATAGCTCCTGCTGCCTTAAGAAAGTTCAAAATATTCTTAAATATCCATCTCATCCTTTTTTGAACTATTACCATGTGGCAGACGGTACAGGATAATAAAAACAAGGACAAATAGGCTGAAAAACAGCTTCTATCCCAGGGCAGTAGCTTTTCTGAATTCTACTGTATTCTACAGTGTTGATGCGGTGTTGCGGGTTTTTGGTTCAATGTATGGTGTGAAGGATGTGTGTTTGTGTTTATTTTCATGGTCATGATGTGCACTGAAGATGGTGTTTGATTTCATTGTATGAGGTGCAATGACAATAAAGTAAAATAACTTAAAATAAATTAAAGATGACACCTTCACCATAATAAAAAAGATCAATTAAAGAACACCCACAGAACCATCAATAACATTTTAAAGGAATTCAGAAAAAGAAAACAACAACTTCCTGGACATCCTGATCAGCAGAGACCACAATGGCAAACTAGAAATGCAAGTCTACAAAAAACCCACCCATACTAACCAGGTGCTCCACTACTAAAGCAACAAGCCAATCTCCCACAAGATAAGCTGTGTAAGAACTTTATTTAAATGAGCCCAAACACACTGCAGTAACCCAGAACAGCAGAAAAAGAAAATGGAGCATCTATACAACACATTCCAAAAAATTGGATACCCATGCAAATTTATCAAAAAGTCCCTGTCCACTCAACCCAATACAGCACAACAAACACAAACCCTAAAAAGAATCACACTGCCATACAGCAAGAATATCTCAGAAACCATAGATTACTACAACCACATGGAATCAGTGTAGCACACAAGCCAACTAAAGCCCTTCAAAGCATCCTAAGCAAACCAAAAGATCCAGAAACTCCAGAAGAAAAAACAGAAGTCATCTACAATATACAATGTAAGAACTGAAACAACCACTATGTAGGACAAACAGGCAGAAGACTGGCAGAACACATCCATGAATACCAACTCGCAATCAGAAGGCATGACAAAAATTCTTTAATCTCACAATTTATAGACTGATTTAACTGTTGTTTCTATTGGGGAAATGTTGCTCTGAGGATTGGTAAAAATGTTTCTGGTTGGATTGAAATTGGAGGTTCTGCCTATAATTTACAATTTAAGCTTTGTTTCTGCTGATCTTCTTGGCTATAACTGTTATTTGCTGCTTTATTATTTCCAGGGCTTCCTTGGTCATCCTTGTTTTTAAGTGGTATTTCCTTATTAGGTATTCTTTAGTCTTCTTGCTCTTCAGCTTCTTTTGTTTCATTTGTTCTAGCTTACTGACATCTGATCTCATCTTGCTAATCTTATTTTCCAGCCTGGTCTTCCATTTTGATGACTTTGGCTTTTTTTTCTTCTTTGCTGATTTTGCATTCCAGGTATTCACTTATAACTACAGCTGTACTGTACGTTAGTTGGCTTGTTTCTTGTAGAGAGCTAGTTCTTATATTTGATATTACAGTTTTGGCATCTTTTAAGGGTCTAGACAATTCACCATGGGCAACTTGTCACAGGACAGCTTACCACGGCCAACTCACCACAGGACAACTCGTCACAGGACAATTCAATGCTGTATTAATCATTTCATTCAATTACTTTTATTATTGGTGATTAAGTTTTCATCAAAATTAATCTAATTCTTGTATTTCTGGATTGACTTCTTTTGTTTTATTATTATTGGCTATGGTTCCATTGAAATTAATTTAAGCTTTGTATTTGTTGAATTGACCTGCAGCGAGATGTCGCATGGTGAGTTGGCCACAGAGAGTTGTCCTGTGGCAAGTTGGCCATGGCAAATGGGCCGTGGCAAGTTGGCCACAGCAAGCTCTCCATTCTTTTAATGGTTGTGCTAGCTGTTTCTTGGAACAAGTTTAAGTGCAGACAACCTTATTCTGTTGTTTTGTGCTGTTCTAGATGCTCAGTTATTCTTTGTTTTAATACTTTTGTTAGATGGCTTTGTTATTTCTCAAGCAGAGAAAAGAGTTCCTGGTTTCCAATGAAAAAAATTCTACAGCTATGCTGGCTTTCTCTATTGCCAACTCTATTGGTTTGCCTCTATAGTCTGGTTTACTTCTGGGAAGGGTTTTATTTCTTTGCCTTGGGCAGACTTTTGCAGTTCTTCCAATTCCGTTACTATTAATTCTTTATTTCATATTATAAATTGATGTTTACCTAATTATTATTATTCATAATAGTTAAAATAGTATTTTTAAAAATTATTGTAATATAATGTTTGGAGGTTGATGAACAATCTGAAACTTCATGGAGGTGTCAATGAGCTGAAGAGTTTGAGAACCCCTGCCCTAAAGTAATTGTAGCTACCTCATAAAAAAGGGGGAGAGAAAGAAGAAAGGAGATATGAGATGAAGAGGTAATTGACAGGGAAGGTGATAAGTTACTGAAATTGTTTGTATTTGTTTGATGAAGGGAGAAGTCATTTTCTTATATATCTTTTTTATTTTTTTCCTCCCTTTTTCTCTATGCACTTTTTATTTTCCATTTTTCTTAGTTTATGTTAGTTATCTTTGACTTTTTAAACTTCAAAAAAAGTATTTTTTAAAAAGTCACACTTTATAGAAAATTATTTTAGTTGTATTTTGGGGAAAGGGATTTCCCTAGCTACATTTTCTAACTGAGTTCACTGTAAGAGTTATTGTGACAATTCCAAACCCTTTTAAAAAAAATATGATGCTTGATTAAAATCTTAGAATATATTCTTTAGATAAACTTTCTATTTTCTTACTTTCTATTTTCTTATTTTCCTACTTTCTCAAAAGGGATGAAGGCACAAAGATACAGTCACATGCACAGGCTTGTTCTGCTATGGGGCTTTTATTCAGCCTTTTTCTTCACATTCTTGTCAATTTCAAATAAATTAAAAAGAAAATAATAGTACCCGAACTCTGGCTTCTGTCAAGTTGGTCCAGACAGCAATCTCCTCTCGGGTATTCATGTCTGGATACCGATTCCTTTGAAAAGTGGCTTCCAGCTCCTGTAGTTGTTGGCTGGTAAAATGAGTTCTCTGCCTACGTTGCTTCTTTCTCAGGGAGCCATCCTCAGGAGTGGAATTATCAGTCTGATTCTGCTGTGACTTTTCTGTGTCTATGGAAGCAAAATCAAGGAATCCATCACAGATTTTCAAAGTGTTTCAAGACAATAATTTTTCTTGCCTAAACATTCCTACCAGTGAAAGTGATATTATTAAATTATATCTTTGTGTAAAATTGCTCAACACATACACAAAAATCGTTTGTTTGAACTGAAGACAATTCTGCAGATATTTATTTATTTATTTATTTGATTTGCCAATTGTTTACAAGATAATAAGTATAAGTGTATACATAGTTGTGAATACATGAAATGGGTACATATAAGAAAAATAAAAGAATAAGAGAAACAATAGGACAGGGACGGTAGGCACGTTGGTGCGCTTATGCACGCCCCCTACAGACCTCTTAGGAAAGGGGTGAGGTCAATAGTAGACAGTCTAAGGTTAAAGTTTTTGGGGTTTGGGGAAGAGACTACAGAGTCGGGTAGAGTATTCCAGACATTGACCAGTCTATTGCTGAAGTCGTATTTCCTGCAATCAAGTTTGGTGCGGTTTACTTTGAGTTTGTATCTATTGTGTGCTCTTGTGTTGTTATGGTTGAAGCTGAAGTATTCATTGACAGGTAGGACATTGCAATGTATGATTTTGTATACCATGCTTAAGTCAGACCGAAGACGGCGTAATTCAAGGTTTTCTAGTTTTAGAATTTCAAGTCTGGTGGCATAAGGTATTCTACAACGAGTAGAAGAGTGGAGAACTCTTCTTGTGAAATATTTCTGGACTTTCTCAATTGTGTTAATATCAGATACGTAATGTGGGTTCCAGACTGATGAACTGTATTCGAGTATTGGTCTAGCAAATGTTTTGTATGCTCTGGTTAGTAGTGTGATATTACCAGAGATAATATGCCGCTGCTCACATATGGTTTATCACAAAGACTGATCTTTTGGACAAGGCACGTAGTGGCAGTGCAAAACAGTGATTCTTTCATTTCTTACTCTGAATTCTTCTTAGTGATCATATATGCTTTTGACAGAAGCAGAACCCAATTTGAGGAATATTAGTGAGTAAACACTGAGGAGCCTCGGTAGCGCAGTGTTCTAAGTGCAGTACTGCAAGCTGTTCCTACTGCAATTTAGCAGATCAAATCCCACCAGGCTCAAGGTTGACTCAGCCTTCCATCCTTCCGAGGTGGGTAAAATGAGGACCCAGACTTTTGTGGGCAAGAGGCTGACTCTGTAAATCACTTTGAGAGGGCTGTAAAGCACTATAAAGCGGTATATAAGTCTAAGTGCTATTGCTATTGCGTAGGACCCACTGGCATTTTGTGATTTGAAAAAATATTTTTCTTTAACATGCAATCAGGAAAAATATATCTATCTGAAGAAGTAAATTACCTGTTCATGAATATATTGAATCCTTTCTGATTCCTGATTTTTTTTAATGTCTCACATGGGAGGAAGTGGGTTGTTGTTGTTTTTGCTTTAAATAAACACAGGGAGAAGAAACATGTGTAATAGAACGTTGAACGACTTTGGGGGGATAAGGGGAAGAGATGCTGCCCAGGAAAAAATCAGATAAGAGCCAAGAGCCCCAGTGGCTTAACAGAGAACAGCCTAGGAAAGATCTCCCCTAATAGATTAGATGGTTAAAAGTGGCAGTGGGAAGTTTGTATCTTCAGTCTTTCAAGATTCTGTTACTGTAGCCTTACAATAAAGTAGACTTAGTTCATTTTGTTGAGTTTCTTACTTGGCTTACCTGGGAGAGTTGATAGTATGTCACAACTTCCAACCCAGAATTTAAAAATTAGTGAGAACTTTAAAAAAAATGGAACATCTGTAGAATAGTAGTTTTATTTTTCACTCTAAATATTTTGTTGTTCACTTGGACGATTTAGAGCTGCTGGTTTTATGGTCTCCAGATACAAGGTCTGTTCATCTTCTAGGTCTCCATTATGTCTCAGTGTGTTTTTGTGGATCAAGCTGGTGATTTTGCTTTTGTGGAAGCCGTTGGCTATCAGTACTTTAGTACCCTGACTAGAAGATGAACAGACCTATGGAACAGCTGTCCTGCCCTACATAAGAGGTACTACAGACAAAATCAGTAAGATACTACACAGGCATCACATCAAGACTGCCTTCAAAACAGACAGAAAAATAGCAGCCATCCTTAGAAACCCCAAAGATAAAATTGACCTGGAAAACCAAGGCATATACGAAGTCCCCTGTGCATCATGCCCGGCCACATACATCGGACAGACCAATAGAAGAATAAGTACCCGCCTGGATGAACACAAAAATGCAGTAAAAAAGCTGGAACACACTTCCACACTAGTCCAACACATGAAAGCCACAGGTCATAGCATCAACTTCAATGGCACCAAAACCCTAGCCACTATAGAAAACCCTAGCCACAGAATTATCAGAGAAGCCATAGAGATTGAAAATAGACCTGAAAGCATGAATAGAAGAGATGATTCCACCAGACTGTCAATTGGAAGCCTGCACTCACAAACAAAAAAATCTCCACACCACAAGCCAGGCAAACACCTGGGCACAAACAGATCCCCCCTGATACCTCCAGCTCAAACACATCCGAACCAGGCACCCAGATGAAACCCAGCTTCCTAACTAATGATAGCCGTCCATTTACCCGAAGCCAAGCTGCACTAAAGGCCTCCAATAAAGTAACACAATGCTGCCAGCCAATCAAGATACAAAAAGAGCCAAAAAACAGACAGAAGATATTAGAGACACCAATCAAGCAGAACACAGCAAACTCCAAGACCAATAAACACAGACCAAGACTCCCAACCAATCAGGATGAAGAAAAAAACCATTCTGGCACAGCAATAGGCTGCCCCAAATTGAAATCTGAAACCACTGTAAAAGTCTGACTCACAGACAGACACAATACAGAAGCCTGATGATGGCAGATGAGATTCTGCTGAAACGTTGCTACAACTTTAAAAGAACAACTACAATGACGTGGGGAAATACCCGAACAAAGCCGAAGGCCATACATGTAAGTACTCGCGAAAACTTAAGAATATATATATATATATATTTTCACTCTGAGAAGCACAGAGCTGAAGACAGAAGCCTGAAGATGATGAATGAGACTTCATCGAAACGTTGCCTAGATACTTCCAATCTTACGCGGGAGAAAACCCGAATAACCAAAGACAGACACACACACACACACACACACACACACACACACACACACACACACATATATATATATATATATATATATATATATATATATATAAAATTAAATAAGAACATCTGCCTATTCCAGGTGGTTAGGAAGGTCTTAATAGGTGGACAAAAATGCCAATCCAGTCTAAACATCTAGCTGGTTATATATATACCAACTATAATAAAAAATTATAACTTGACATTGTGGACAGAAGTAAAACTGGTAAGGAAAAATCCAGTGTGTTTTAGGGTAGAGAGAGGATAATTACATAAACATATTCCAGCCTCCCAAAGCATCAAACACAACCTCAAGTATTTTTTAATTTAGAAAGACAGCAAGAAAAAACTCTAAATTTGACTTATATAAAGGTTCTGCATTATTTTATTACCAATGACACCCACAGATCAGACACAACTGGAGCAATGTATCACCTCTTTAAATGAGCATGTGATATATGCCATGCACATTAAAAATAGACAGGATTTCAATCACCCAGTCACATTCACCATTTTGATGCTCTTGACAAACACACACATAAACACACACACTCTTATCCTGCAGACATTTCTGATTGGGTTAAGATTTTATTATGTTGCAATAAAGATTATAAATTAGCTGAGTTCTGTTGGGAGTCTTCTGCCAAGTCTCTCTGACACTTAAATTAGTTAAATGGTCAGGGAACTGTGATTTATTTCTAAGTGTGAAGCCTGATAACAGATCACAGTTGTCTCAGGAAGACATTTCTTATTTGTGGATTGAATTGGATTGGATTGGGATGTCACTTAACTCCAGAATGACTCTGCATGATTTACAATTTAAAAACAGAAAAACAAAAAAGGAAATTTCTGAAGTCTCCAAATCATATTGCATATATTGGTGGTGGGGGAGAGAAACTCTGGTGGGGCTTCACAGTCATCCTGTCTCACAACCTGGGCAAATAGCCAAATTTTTAAAAGTTTTCCAGAACTTCATTAGGCTGGGAGCTTCTTAGATCTCCAGGGAATATAATTTGCTGTGAAAGAGTAAATAAAGCAGGGGTGGGATTCAACCAGCATTACTACCAGTTTGGTAATTACGTTGCGCGTGCGTGTAATACACCATAAACTGTGCCACCTGGACAACTGATAAGCACTGTGCGCAGGTGCGCAGCATTTCAAAAAGTTTCTTACTGCTTTTTCAACCTCAACTGTGCCGCACAAAGCAGCTGAGGTTGAAAAAGCAGGAAATAAAAGTCAGGTAAGAGCCTGGGCAGGCGGGTGAGCCAAACAGCAGCAGACACAGAACTGGTTGCTGCTCTTCAGAACTACCGGTTCTATAGAGCTGGGCAGAACTGGCAGCATCCCATCCCTGAAATAAAGTTCCTGGGATAGATAGCATTGTTTAAAGGTCCTGAAGTGCATCAACTTTATCTGAACTTTCCATATGGGTAGAAAACAATTGGAAATAGGTAGTCCCTCAAATAATCAGGCCCTATTCCATGAAGGGTTTTGTAGGTGGTAATCAGAATTTGGGACCAGGTGTAGCTGCCCAGTGGTCTTCAAGTGTAGCCCCAGGTAGAGGATGTTGGAATAATCCAGTTGTAAGGTGATTAAGGCATAAGTAACTCTTTGGAGGTCCTCCCCATCCATGAATAGGTGCAACTGACACACCCTCTTCTTCACAGCTGATGTTTGTTCTTTAAGCAGGAGCTATGAAGCCAAGACAACTGTCAAATTGCATGCCAGATTTGACTGGGGGAATACAATCCCATCAAGGCTAAAGTTGGAAAGTCCCCATATCTGGAGTGGCCAAAAGTCCACTGTCACTCAGTCTTGGGAGAACTGAATCCAAGTCTATTCTCCACATCCAGACCTGCACAGCCCTCAGATGTAGAACATTGATGCATCACTTGGCTGCCCAAGGTGGAAAGGTATTTTGATTTGATGCTATCAAATACCATACTGATGGATGACCTCTCTCCATGGTTTTATGTAGATTAGAAAGAAGAGTTTTTAGGAATTACACAGTCTTCTTTTCTATGCACACTACTGTATTCCCCATGTAAAATAAATTATTCATCTTGCATGCTTAGATGTAAAGATATGTTTCCCCCCAAATAAGGCCTTCTCTTATTTTCTTTTGGGCCCCAAAATAAGCACCATGTCTTACCCGCTTACCTTAGTACCATTGTAGCCAGGCCTCGATATCTGCCTGACTTCTGTGGCCACTTGCAGCAGGATGCCACATGGCACATTCTGCATGGTGCGTTGCACCATAGTGTGAACAGCAGCATCGGCATAAGAAGCCACAGGGCCTTCTGCTGCAAGCAGCAGAACTGGTATGACGTGCCATATGGCGTCCAGCCACAGAAGAAGTCAGGCAGTGGCACAATAGGCATCAAGGCATGAGAGGCCTGGCTGCGGCATTCCTAAGGTAAGTGGGTACAGAGTGTGTGGGGAAGCTCCACCTGCCACTCCCATCCTAGCTTGATTTTTACGCATGTGCCTCACCTTGTGCAACCAGACTGTGGGATGAAGTGGATAGATCTTACCTAGGGCTTATTTTAGGATTAGGGCTTATATTAGATGCACACATAAAAATCAAGCTAGGGCTTATTGTCAGGAGAGGGCTTGTTTTCAGGGAAACACAGTAGTGGGAGTCACTATATCATATCTACCATGTTTGAAGCAGATATAAAATAGGCTGCATAGAACAGAGATATAATGTGCCTGTTGGCCAGCTATACCCTGAATTACTGCAGACAATTACAATTGCTTGATGAAGAAAAGATGATGTGAATCCTGGAAAGATTTCAAAGTAGGCTAAACACTAGAGGAAAAACTGCAAAGGGAAAATAAACAACAGTTCTATCATTCAATATGTTGGAGACAAAGTTGCCTTTTCTTCCATTGGGGAGGTAAGCCTTTTATAGTTATATTGTTTTCTGGAGAAAAGGTCAAGGGTAATAGTAAAATAATTGATCAATATTTGGTGGCTCAGATGGAAATAATATTAAGAAAAAAAAAAACAGTTGGGCCAAAGAAGCTACTGGAATATTTAAGGTTTTTTATCCATTTATGTGTTATATTAATAGGTACTTGAAAATTCCATGAAGTAATAAAGACTTTAAGGGGTCATTAACTGCTTTAGTAAGAATAGCCATTACTGGGTTTACTTGCATCAACAAGACTCTTTACTGTATTAGTTTTGCACTAGTTTTCCTCCAAAGTGATGCATATAAGATTCTCTTATCTAATTTTCTCAGCAGTAACTCACCAGTGAGCTTCCATGGCTGAAAATAAGCTTGGGATTCCCCAGTCCCAGTTCAAGACCTTAACCACTACAACATCTCCTTGAAAAGAAGTTTGATATACCACAAGTTTGTGTCTTCTGTGAGACAACAAAATAATTTATACATTTAATTTCGTTTTGACTAGTCTCACATAGAGTAAAAAAAAAGGGGGAATCTTTAAGTGACCCCTTCCCATGAAGGAAATTGAAGGAACTGCAGCTTACTCAGAAAAAAGCTCCACTGGTTCACTGGGAATCACTAACAAATATCTATAGAATTGCAACCCAAAAGTTTATTGCTTATGAAGGTACTCCTGTATGCTGGTACAGATTCATTTTCTCTACACTATACAGCCGTACTTACTTTAATTTCACAAAGGAAGATTATTTTGTCCTGTATCATGCACAGAGGTGGATTTGTGGCTGTGCAGATGCAGATAGATAATTCCACAAAGCATCCATAACAAAGCACATTTATTGGTACATCAGGTATCTTCATAACTCACATTTGTGATGAAGCTCTTCTATAATGACCAATGCTTTGTATATCAGCATTTCAGGTAAAACAATGGTTATTTTCCTAACGCATCACGTAGCGATAGAAAGAAAGCTGTTATCAGTCCATTAGTGCAGGCAAGAATGGAGGGAAACCTCTCTCAACCCCTCAAGGGTCAACTTAATGGCCAATCAGGATTACAGATGTGACCATGTGACATGAACTACATTTCCCAGGATACCTTTAACTACATTTACCATGATGCATTCCCTTAAGGGGACAGCTCACAATTCCTAAGTAACTAACCAATTCCTATAGACTGGCTGGGACAGCACAAAGATTGAAAAAAAAAAAACTACCCTATTTTTCAAGAGGCTACTCCTCTTGGGTGAGGTGATAATTGTTATAAAAGGGTAATTAATTAGTTGATTTGTTATTGTATTTAATTATAAGAGAGAAGATGCTTTCTGCCTATGCACACCACACTATTTTGCATAGATATTTTGTATATTGAAAATAGGAGAACATGCCCTTTGCCAGGGCACCTCATGCTAATTTTAGTGACATGTGGCATTTGTATTTTGTCATATAATATTATAAACACTTAAAAGATTTAATCTGGCTTTAACAAAGCACTTTTTATTTGATGATAAAATTTCAAAGTGTTCACTTTATCAAAATAGCCAGTTTAAATTACACATATTTCATTACCTTTTTCATGTGACTTTTGAATTTATGTTGCTAGTATGGTCCTGCCAGTTTGAAAAACCATAGTATGAATAAGATCATGCTCCCTCCTTAATCAGCATAGTGTAAAAGTCTGACAGGAAAGCTGAAAGGGAGACCATTTTCTGTTGTTTCCCTTCATCTAAAGATGCTCCAGATCAGCACCAATCCTCCTGGCATTCCAAAAAGCAATTAAGAGAGACAACCTGGTGAGTTGCAGTGCATGATTGGATTACTATTTTTCCCCTTGGAATGAAGGCAAATAGGAATCTTCCAGGTAGTTGCCATTGTGCCTATTAAAGATGGGTCATTTTAAGTGGGGACAATGGACACTGACACAGGATGTCTCTCATTTGGTTCCATTTCCTATTTCAAGTACATAAAGAAATATTGAGGTTTCAATTATTTTTTTGAGAATTGAATTTATATAGTTATTAAACCTTCATTTTTAGAATTTTTCAATACTGGTGAAAAAACGCAAACACACTGTTTATTTAAGGAAAACCCTTTTAAAATAAGAAGGTATCTGTTTTCCTACTTACCACTTGCTTGGCCCTTGTGCCTGTGTGCATGTTGAGGTGTCCCAGATTCTGAGAGGGAAAGAGGGGGACTCTGAGCTTCTGGGTCAGTGAGCAAGTTGAACTCCATCTGCCTGGCACAGGTGCAGGAGAGGAACTGAAGAGATATACGGTGAAGTGTGAGGGAAGACATATGCTTACCTGGAGATAAATTAGTTTCAATGAAATTTCCATTCAAGTGTTTACAGCTCAGACCAACAGCATGACCAACATTAACATGTTTACTCCAAAAAGGGTTTTCACAGTGAGGCTCAATCCTGGAAAAACATACTGTATATAGGCTGACATTTCATGTAAAATGTTTAGCCATTTTTAAAATAAGATGTTTCCTCCGCTTCCAATTTATTTCTGTATTCTCAGAAGATTACATATCATTCAATTAGCAGAAATTCTCTATTTGTGAATCTGGCCAGTATCTTACAATTATTTTTCTCTTCATTTTTAACCTGCATTTTATGAAGTGTATTAAAATGATCTCTGTACATCTTCTTAAACAATAGATAGTAAAATTTGGCTTGAGATTCAATATATATATGCATAAGCAAGTACACACAAATACTCACATGTTCATATATATGCAAACACAAAGAGCCCTAGGTCTATATAGGAATCAGTATCTTCCTTGATATTTTTTCATGCATTTTGTACATGAAGCGGAGCCCACCAATGGTTCTTACTATTGTGAGGGCTTTTGATTCCAAGAATTATGCTAAAATGCACAGTGCATTAATTTATTGGATTAAATACAGAGGTATGTGTAACTTTGCTGTCTGAATTTATTAAGACCCTTAGCCCCTTCTCTATGAAGCAGCAAATTAAATTTCTTACCAATTTTTATAAAATGATCACATTCCTCATCCTGACATGTGACTGCATCTGCGAAGAGCAGTTTTCTCTCCTGACACTGACAGTGCAATCATCAGATCCGAAGTTTTCTCTTTCACCTGCTACAAATTTACTTGGTATAGCCCTCAAAACCTCCTAGCAAAAGGTAATTAAGTTTTGCTATAGTAAAACCTACTTCACCAAAGGCTTATCCAGCAAACTTTGACTTTTGCCATACACAAACATGTAGCTTTAGATTATTTTCCTCTATCAATAAATGGCTAAATGAGTACAATGTTTTTGACTCATTTGTTTAATTATCTTTTTCTAATTTTAGGAGTTGTGTGGAGAATAGATCACATTTTAGGTCATATTTATGAAATATTGAAAATTCAGACAGATTTTTTCCTCAAAAATAATTTGTATATTTAAAAATGTGGAAAATCAGAGTATGGTGTAATGTTCTCTTATCTGACCTGAATTTAATACATTAGATTTTGATGTAGTTTCTCACTGGTTGCATATATTTGTTTAGGAAGATTGTAATGTATAAGTCATACCTCAGAGATTTTACAATATGATTTTGTAATAACTGCTTCTTTTTATTCCCACTCTTTTGTAGATTATTATGGACAATTATTGAATTCAGCTTTTTGAAGTTCTGCTTTGTTGGCCAACTGATTTTAATTTGGTCTAAAAACTGGGAAACCATGAGTTCTAGTCTCACCTAACACATGAAAGCCAGATGGGTTGTTGTTGTGAGGAAAATAAAGAAGGAAAGAGTATTAGGTAAATTCACCAGCTAATTTATTTATAAAATAATAAAAATGGGATTTTAAAAAATCCAATAAATAAATTGTGGAAGGTACTTTCTTGATATTTCATATATGAATCTGCTCCAGTTAAATTTGAGGCTAGTTCTTTATATCCAATGCAGTCAGTACAGATGATAAATGTTCTACAAAAATAAAATACTCCCTTCCCCAAGAAACAATACAGGTAGTCCTCGACCTACAAACACAATTGAGTCTAAAATTTCTGTTACTGAGACATCTGTTAAATGAGTTTTGCCCCATTTTATCACCTTTCTTGCCACAGGTGTTGAGTTAATCACTGCAGTTGTTAATAACACAATTAATTGTAAAATCAAACTGGCTCCCCCATTGTCTTTGCTTATCAAAAGGTTGCAAAATCTGATTAGATACCCTGGGACACTGCAACTGTTACAAATATGTCAATTGTCAAATGTCTGAATTTTGATCACATGACCATGGGGATGCTGCAGTAGTTACAAGTGTGAAAAATGGTTTTAAGTTACTTTTTACAGTGCCATTGAAACTTTAGTTACTGTTGTAAATCGAGGACTACCTGTATTTCTATATTTAGTGCATCACTCCTTCAACTTTTAGAAGCAATCTTTGAGAGATTGGCAGTGCTGAAGTATTTCTGTCTCCTGTTTTCCTTTCATTTATAAAATTAGTCAGAATCATACAGTACCTGATGGTTGTTCCTTAATTCTTGACTTGAAACATCTGAAGGCATTTCATCATTGTGAATTAGTATCATAATTTAAAATTTTTATCTTAAGTACAAAATACTTTGTACTTACCATATCCAATTAATACTTTGTACTGTTACCAGACCCGTGCGGTGATTCATATTTATTCTTGGGAACCAAAACACTGATTTGCTTTTCCTTGCACATTTCAGACCAGAGGAATGTGGGGGAGAAAATAAATAATTCAGAATACTATGTTGATTCTATGTAATTCTGGATGTGAGATTTTAGTTTTGTTTTGACCGAGTACCATTTAACATGTGGATATTTGCTAGAGATTGTTCACAATTCTAGGGAAATCTACATTAACTTGTTTATTGATAACATGGTTATCAATATTAATATCAGTAACATGGTTACTGAACATAACAAAGATGAACAGCACATTGAAATAAGTTTTGATTGAAAACATACCAAAACTGGAAAACTGGTGCAAGTTTAAACAAAGTCCATTCACTTTTTTACATAGATGAACTGGAGCAGTATAAAATATCAGAACTGTTTTTCTACACTTCTGATCATAATGTAAGTAAAAACAGGGCACGAGGGAGACCATTATCAACAAGATAAACAGCAACTGTTACTCAGAAGTAGTTAAGGACTGTTGGTAGGACAAGCTGTGATCTACCTGTATCACATTGTCCCTCTTTGTCAGCTGCTGTTCCATTTGATTTATCTGAACTGACTTCCAATTTGAGTTGCCAATATCTGGGCCAAATGTACTCTTAAAGAAGATATTACCCAATTGTTTCTTCCCATCCTCTGAAATGATCAGATGTGGTTTGCAGTGAAGGGAAAGGACTTGTTATAAGAGAGGAATAATTCATAATTATTCACAAGTATTGTTTTTCTGTTTGTTTACATGGAGTTTAAACTTACCTGCCAAGTACATTGATGTCTAATATATCTTCCAATTTATAACTTTTTTATTTTCTGGTTCATAAGTAATCAACAATGTTTCCATATTTAGTGCAAAATTAAAATATGTCAACAGAAATCCAAGATTTTAATATGTGATGATTGAGTACCCACATGTCTGTCTCCAAATGCCATTTTAGATTAGATGTATTTTCTATGAAATACTTATAAATATTTTGTTTTTTCAGCATTTTAAAGAAAGTCATGTCAGTGCAAATTTATTGTTTATTTCCATTTTGTAAACTGTGCAAAGTTTATTATAAATACAAGCTCTTTTCCAAATACCAAGTACAGTACTTAATTTAATGAAAATCAAATAATACCCATCTGTACATACATATTCACATCCAGCCCAATTCAATGCACTGCAGTATAAAAATCCGTTCTTTGAACATTGTGGACTATCATCTACCACATTTGTCCAACTTAGTCTGGGTTGGTAAGGAGTTTTTTTTCAACTTCCCAAGCTACAATGGAGAGAGTATGACTGACCCAAAGTGACCTAGCTAGCTTCTATAACCTACGGCGAGTGAAAAGGAGGAACCAGTTCAGTACTTTAAGCACCTCATTTATATAGACATATGTGCACTTGCATGCACCCATGCTCTCACATACACTATGGAAATTATGTTTTCTAGGTTGGCATTTTTTTTCCAAGTATAAAAAATCTTGGACAAGCGAGAGGGAGGTGAAAAAAGATTACTAAAGATTACTGAAACAAGTAAACAAAAAAAATAATAAAGAATATATTCAAAGAAATTACTTCCAGCTTTATTTAAACTTTTAAAAGCTGGTACACTTAAACAAATATTATCTTTACAGAGAGGGTTTTTCCTTTCTGAAATAAATCAGTGTGCCAGTAAAATTTTTTGGAAGAAAGGATAAATATTATTCAAACTTTGGTTAGGGTTGGGGTCTCTTTCATGTAGATTTCTTTGAAATGAATTCCCAAGTCCACTCAGAATTCTTTTAAATCATTACAGATGCAGTATCATATAGGATTCTACTTTAATTCCTAGGGATGCATTTCACTTCACCTCAGGAATAATAACAATAACTCAGTGTGATCCTTATTATTTGTCATTACTATGATCCACTTTTAGAAATGTTGAAGAAAACAAATCTTGGCTATCAAACAGCAAAAAGTGCTAATAAATCTAATATTTGCTTTACATGGATGATCTGAAGCTTTATGGAAAATCAGAAATAGAAATCTAATCATTGACAAACACTGTAAGAATTTCCAGCATAGATATAGCAATGGAATTTGGCTTAGGAAAATCTACTTCAGTAGCAATAAACTGGGGTAAATCAAATTAAACTGAGATGCCAAATAACCAAACCATCAGATACCATCGGGATAAAGCCTACATGTGTCTGAGCATTTTATAATTGGACAACATCAAATACGGGCAAGTTAAAAATATTATTAATAAAGAATACCTCAAAGAAGTGAGAAAATTGCTAAAGACAAAATTGAACAGTGAAAACACCATCAAATCCATTAATATTTGGCCCATACCTATGATATATTATACCACTGGAATTAGGACACATGGTGAACTGGACAGTTTGAACTGAACATACAAGAAAGCAGATGACTATTCACTATGCATTACATTCCCAAAATGATATAATCTATTTGCCGCATAGAAATGGAAACTGAGATTTACTTCAGATCAAACAAACTGTCAAAGAAGAAAAGCATGGATTGGCTAATTATGTAAAAGACAGCCAAGAACAAATATTGATGCAAGCTAAAAATTGGAGCTTATTAAATATACACGA